GGAAATGTCGAAGCGGAGGCCAGGAGCACGGGTGACCAGCCGAGCCGTACGGTCGGGTTGCGACGGGTGTAGAGGCGGGAATGTGGTCGAGGCGAGTGTCGCGAGTGGTAACGGTGCACAGTGTGGCGAGAGTAGTAGTGTATGCGCTAAGCAGGGGTGTGAAGTAAGGAAACGAATGTTTCTTACAAAATCCAATTGTATATAATCCATAAGAATCCTTCTTAACGAAGGTTACTTACCAAGACCATCCTAAAGATCAGGTTCAGGAGCATATGTACCGTGTGTTTGCATCGTCCATTCATATACAATAAATCACTTAAGCTGCCTTCCGCACTCCTCCCATACAGGTTTGTCGCATTCAGTGTCAAAATACTAGGAGTGGGGCCTAGGCTTAGTAGCCTAGGCCCACACTAGGAGGTAGTAGGTTGTGCCCTAGGACTAGGGTTTGTGGTATACGAAGGAGAATTGTGAGAATGGGAATGATGATGAACTAGCAAGCAGCAGGATACATATAGGAAACCCTAAGGGGTTGTACTCACTATTGAGCACCCCACTGCAGGCTAGACAATAACATTCTGACACACCCCCATAGCCAAAGTGGGGTGCAATCAGTACAATGAGCAGGCAGTGCAATAGTTCACAAATATGAGCAAAGCTAGTGGCAGTCACAGGAGGCCAGTGAGGAGGAGGAGGAACTGTGGAGGGAGAGATGAGAGGAGGCGACGACTGAAGTTGCAGACACACGGGCACCAGGAGCACCAGGTTGCAACCTCCTCCAACTGTCTCACTCCCCCCTACACTCACCCCCAGGGTCACCACTCGCTCCACGCCCACATCACCCCCCTAGCGCCACTCCCTCGTCTCCCACACATCCACCCCCCCGCAGCGGCAGCTGCAGCAGTGGGAGACGGAGGAGAAGGAAGGGGCGACGCACACGGAGCACCCCCACACCCGCCACCCCCACACTCTCCTGTCCAGGGGACGCAGGGGGGGGGGGAGGGCCGGGGCGGGAGAGCGCACGAGGGCGCAGGCAACCGCGCGTGCCGAGCAACAGCGCGGAGCAGGTAGGGTAGAGCGCACGAAGGCGCGGGCAACCGCGCGTGCAGAGCAACAGCGCGGAGCAGGTAGGGTAGAGCGCACGAGGGCGCGGGCAACCGCGCGTGCAGAGCAACAGCGCGGAGCAGGTAGGGTAGAGCGCACGAGGGCGCGGGCAACCGCGCGTGCAGAGCAACAGCGCGGAGCAGGGCGCACGATGCACGAGGCACGAGGCACGAAGCACAAGGCACAAGGCACAAGGCACGAGGGCGCAGGTAGGTAGGTAGGTAGGTAGAGCGCACGAGGGCGCGGGCAACCGCGCGTGCAGAGCAACAGCGCGGAGCAGGGCGCACGATGCACGAGGCACGAGGCACGAGGCACGAAGCACGAGGCACGAAGCACAAGGCACAAGGCACAAGGCACGAGGGCGCAGGTAGGTAGGTAGGTAGGTAGAGCGCACGAGGGCGCGGGCAACCGCGCGTGCAGAGCAACAGCGCGGAGCAGGGCGCACGATGCACGAGGCACGAGGCACGAGGCACAAGGCACAAGGCACGAGGGCGCAGGTAGGTAGGTAGGTAGGTAGGTAGAACAAACGAACACAGGCAAAACAAACAAATACACGAGCAAGACGAACGAACACGGAGCGGGCTAGAAGCGACACATACAGCACGAGAGGAACAAGACTGCGGGTGACAGGAAAAGGAGGCGGCTGCACCGGGACCAGGAGCGGCGTCGCATGCAGCTGCAGGGTTGGCTGCTGCAGTGGCGGGCGGCTCCAGTGGCGGCTGCTGCTGTGGCGGGCGACTCCAGGGGCGGCTGCTGCAGTGGCGGGCGACTCCAGGGGCGGCCGCTGCAGTGGCGGGCGGCTCCAGGGGCGGCTGCTGCAGTGGCGGGCGGCTCCAGGGGCGGCTGCTGCTGTGGCGGGCGACTCCAGGGGCGGCTGCTGCAGTGGCGAGCGGCTCCAGGGGCGGCTGCTGCTGTGGCGGGCGACTCCAGGGGCGGCTGCTGCAGTGGCGGGCGGCTCCAGGGGCGGCTGCTGCAGTTGCTGGCGGCTCCAGGGGCTGCTGCTGCAGTTGCTGGCGGCTCCAGGGGCTGCTACTGCAGTGGCGGGCGGCTCGAGGCGCGCCCTGGCCTGGCGCAGTCCGTACGGGCCGCGCGCGGGCCTGGCGCAGCCCGTACGGGCCGCGCGCGGGCCTGGCGCAGCCCGTACGGGCCGCGCGCGGGCCTGGCGCAGCCCGTACGGGCCGCGCGCAGGCTGGACGGGCCGCGCGCGGGCCCTACGGAGGTCGCTCGGGCCACGACGGGCGACGGGGGGCGACGCGCGGCTCCCCGTCGCCCGTCGCAGCTCCTCCCGGGGGCGACTCGCGGAGTGACGGGGCAGAAAGCCGCCGCGCGCCTCGGGGCGCACGGCGGGCAGAAAACCGCCGCGCGCCTCGGGGCGCACGGCGGGCAGAAAACCGCCGCGCGCCTCGGGGCGCACGGCGGGCAGAAAACCGCCGCGCGCCTCGGGGCGCACGGCTGGCAGAGAACCGCCGCACGCTCCGAGCGCGCGGCGGGATGAAAAATTAGGGTTTGGCCGCCGCGCACCACGGGGCGCGCGGCGGACAGTACGGCAGCGGAAGCAGGTGGTGGGCCCATACAGGAAGGCGGCAGGAACGTGCCTGCTCTGAATACCATGTCAAAATGCTAGGAGTTGGGCCTAGGCTTAGTAGCCTAGGCCCACACTAGGAGGTAGTAGGTTGTGCCCTAGGACTAGGGTTTGTGGTATACGAAGGAGAATTGTGAGAATGGGAATGATGATGAACTAGCAAGCAGCAGGATACATATAGGAAACCCTAAGGGGTTGTACTCACTATTGAGCACCCCACTGCAGGCTAGACAATAACATTCTGACATTCAGACCCTCAGATTGCACTACCGGTATCGGACCTTCACCAGCGATTTCTTCTTACTCCTTGAAAAGACTTTAGTGACCACCTATGTATGATTGTATTAACCAATTGAATTTCACTTGATGACTTCAATTTTCCAGTACGGCCAATTCAAATCCGGAACCCTCCTTCCTTTTTCTCCTGAAAAGACTCGCATCTATTTCCCCTCCCCCCTCGTCCTTCTCTCTCTGGTCACTCTGCTTATGTTGGTGCCTCTCGCCTCGCCTCACTCGTCCACCCCAACAATACCACTCTGTGCTCTTACTCTCTTGATTTTTCCCCCTCTCTCATCTCCGTGTTTCCACCACTTCTTATCCCCTCTCCTCTCCCTCCACTACCCTCTTCTTTCTCGTCTGTTCTGCTTCCATCCTAACCTCCTCCTCATCGTCCTCCTCCTCCCCATCCTCTTGGCTTCCCTTTTTCTTCTTCCACCTTTCTCTCTTCACTTCCTCCTCTCCCGTCTCCTCGTTCGCTCTATTCACAATAATTTCACTTTCCTCCCTTCCCTTATCTTCCTCCTCCGCCTTCTCCCTTTCCCCCTCCCCCTCCCCCTCCCCAATCTTCCCCTCTCCTTCCCCACTCTCCCCCTCACCCTGCCCCTCCCGTTTTCCACTCCCCCCCTCCCCCTCTCCCTGCCGCTTCCCACTTTCCCCCTCCCCATCCCCCTCCCGTTTCCCCCTCTCCTCTTCCCCCTCATCCCTCTCTGTCAATTCTGCCAGTCTCAGCAGCAGCTGCTGCTCTTCTGGTGGTAAAGCTGGGGAAAGGGGAAAGTCATGGGTCGGCCAGAGGGGGACAGAGGGTAGAAAAGAATTTATTTCTGGGGCGCTTCAGTAATTGTGTTCTGCCAGCCTCAGCAGCAGCTGCTGCTCTTCCGATGGTAAAGCTGGGGAAAGGGGGAAAATTTGTGGTTGGCCAGAGGGGGGAAAGAGGGTATAAGAGAATGGATTCAAAGCAACTGCCAGCGCCCTAAGAATCCATTCTCAAGGAGGGTATAAGAGAATGGATTCTTAGGGCGCTCCAGTAATTGTGCCAGTCTCAAAGCAACTGCTGCTCTTCCGGTAATAAAGCTGGGGAAAGGAGACATTTGGGTTTAGCCAGAGAGGTAGGGGGAGGGGGAGAGGAGGGGGAGGGTACTTTAAGACTTTTCCAACAGGGACAATACAAGGGAGTGGAACGAGAATGTGATCTGGATTTTTTCAAAAGGCACCGGAGGAGGGAAGGGAGGGAGGGGGAATTGGGGAAATCTGAGTGATGGACAAGAAAAGTGAGCCAGTTTAGTTTTTGAGGCGCCTCAAAAACGACCTCAAGAAAAGTGAGCCAGTTGAGGGTTTTGCAGAGGAAATTGAGGGCTGACAAGTGGGGATTAGAGTTTGACACTGCAGGGTGGGAGTAGTTAGAAGTTCTAGAAGCACCTCAGTTGGAAGTGCTTCCAAGTTCTAGAGTTAGAACTTAGAAGCACCTCAGTTGGAAGTGCTTCCAAGTTCTAGAGTTAAAACTTAGAAGCACCTCAGTTGGAAGTGCTTCCAAGTTCTAGAGTTAGACCTTAGAAGCACCTCAGTTGGAAGTGCTTCCAAGTTCTAGAGTTGTTGAACTTAGAACTGAGGTGCTTCTCATTTGTTGAATTGAAACGGACTCAAAAATGCACAGCACAGCAGCTGGCATTGCTTTTGAGGCGCCTCAAAAACGACCTGAATTGAAACGGACTCAAAAATGCACAGCACAGCAGCTGGCATTGCTTTTGAGGCGCCTCAAAAACGACCTCAATTGAAACGGACTCAAAAATGCACAGCACAGCAGCTGGCATTGCTTTTGAGGCGCCTAAAAACCGACCTGAATTGAAACGGACTCAAAAATGCACAGCACAGCAGCTGGCAAGAAAGACATTATGTAGAAAGAAAGGTTCATGTACATGCACCATGGGGAAAGACATTATGTAGCATGGGATAGGACATCACGTGGCATGGGATAAGACAACATGTGGTATGGCATAATGGCATGGTAAGTAATGGCATGAGATGCCATAAAAATAACCACTCACCATTGATGGGGTTCGGGACCTGATTGAAGCCCACATGCATCGTGTGCCATGCCATGCATATCCATGCACCCATGCCATACGCCATACCATGCACCCTTGCCATGCCATACCATCCACCCATGCCATACGCCATACCATGCACCCTTGCCATGCCATACCATCCACCCATGCCATACGCCATACCATGCACCCTTGCCATGCCATACCATGCACCCATGGCAAATCAGCAGAAAAAGAAGACAGAAATTGATATAAAAAAACGTCATGGCTCTGGAAGGAAGGAGCAACCGGCATGGAATTGCATATATGTGGATTATCATTGAATCTAGGGGAGCGCAAGAGCACCATGAAAAATAGAAAGGAATCCCTAGGAACAGCTAATTTACATCTTCTTGAATTTTTAAAAGTGACACGAATGAGAATTACAGCAGCCAATGCCACGTCGCCACACAATGCCACGTCACATCACCTGTATTTCATCCTTAAATGTCATGCTGGCTCCTGAAATGTCGATATAAACACGCTGAACCACTGGTGGGACTGCAGGAATGCAATAACAAGCAAGGTGGATACGTATACGTTATTAGAGTGAATATGAAGTTACAAGGACTAATAAATGGGGAAAACATCAACGAATTTAGTCAACCCTTACTTCTGAAGTAATATACACCCTTACTTGTGAGAATTTAGTCACATAAACCATTAGTCACATAGACCATTCTAACTCCCTCCATCCCATACCCTGTTTTCTAAACCCTTGCTCCGTACTTCAAAGCATTCATTCTCAGAGGTGCATGCTCGTCTTTTACCCATGTGTTGATTATTACCAAAGTTATTTCAAAGTCTCCCCTCCCCAATTCTAGGCTCACCGTAGGTGTTTTCTCTTCGAACTCTTTCCACCTTAAGCGTCTGAAACAACCGCTCACACACATGCACAAACATACATGCAGTGCGTGCACACACACACACACACACACACACACACACACACCCACACACACACACACACACACACGCACACACACAACACACACATACACATTAATACCTGCACACATCCATACAATCACACATGCATACATGCACACATGCATACATGCACACATGCATACATGCACACATGCATACATGCACACATGCATACATGCACACATGCATACATGCATACGCATACACATGCACACGCATGCACACAAGACAGGGGAGGGGAGGGGGAGGGTGAGGTAGGGAGCGATGGGAATCGGGTGAGGAATGAGGGGGGAGGGATGGGAAAAGAGGGGAAAGAAGGAGAGGCAGGGAGGATATTCAGAAAGAATTGTCACGATGAGTTTCGTGGGTTGCCATTGCACTGTGCATGTGTGTCTCACGACTCGTGAGTCACGAGCGATTTTTGAGAATTCTCAAAAACGCCTCACATCCCCCTTCCGTCCCCTCCCATCCTTCCCATCCCGCTCATCCCCCCCATCCCTCCTCCTCCCTCCTCCCCCCATCCCATGCCCCACATCAGTCCCTAACGCAAAGCTCCCTAGGCCTTGTAGGAGAGGTGAGGGCTACAGAAGAAGGAGAGTGAATCTCTTCTCCTCATCCTCCGCTGATCCCCCCTTATCCCCCCTCCCCTCCCCTCCCCTCCCCTCCCCTCCCCTTCCCTCCATCGCCCCTCACTCCCTCCATCGCCCCTCACTCCCTCCATCGCCCCTCCCCTTCCCTCCATCGCCCCTCACTCCCTCCATCGCCCCTCACTCCCTCCCCTCCAGAGGGGGGCGAATTCCTCTTCCCTCCCCATCCTCCCCCTTCGTCACCTCTCGCCCCTTTCCTTCCCATCCCTCTCCCCACTCTCCCCTCCTCCCTCGTCCCTCTCCCCACTCTCCCCTCCCATCCCTCACATCGGTTTCAGGCGCAAAGCTCCCCAGGCCTCGCAGCAGAGGGGAGGGCTCCAGAGGGGGGCGGACCAGCAGAGGGTCGGCTGTCAGGGGAGGGGAGAGGAATGGAGGGGGGAGGAATGGAGGGGGGGGAAGGGGAGACGGGGGAGAGGGAGGGGAGGGGGGGGGGGGAAAGAAGGGACAAAGGAAGGAGCGGGATGGAAGGAGGGACTGAGGTGTTTGGAATGATTGGCGGAATCTACATGCCTCGCAGCAGAGAGAAGAAAGAACTCCGGTAGGGGTTGAAGAGCAGAGGCTCCGTGCACCTGCGCGCCAAGCACCCGAGATTCCGCCATCTTCTCCCCTCCGCGCCAGCAGCGCAACCCCCAGCAGCGCCAGAAGCGCACACGCGCATCCCAGGGCTGTCCGCGCCACTGCAATCCGCCTCCGCCGCTTCCTTCCGCCACCCGTTCCCTTTCTGCTGCGCGTTCCCCTTCCGCCGCCCGCTCCCCTTACCGCGAGCGCTGCGCCAATTTCCGCCGCTGGCAGTTCAGCGCGGTCCGCTTTCGCCCCTCCGTTCCCCCCCAATTTCCCTGCCTCTGGAAATTCCGCTCCTTGCCCCGCCGCCGCTGGCCCTTCTACTGGTCTCGCCGCTAGCGTCTCTTCTCCGCGCGCCCCCGCGATTCCCGCGGAATGTTCCGCCGCATCCCTCGCTCGGACGTGCGCGGTGGAGAGTGAATAGTGCAGAGGTGGGTTTTCAGGGTCGTCGTAAGTAATGGCACTCATACGCGCGGCGAAGAAAGGAGCTAGGCGTATCTGTAGGTCCCTGTGCAACGTGGGCGAAGTGTGATATGCAACTCCGCACGAAACGTGACTGTAGTTTCGCTAACGAGTGCGATTCGTTAAACATTCAGTTTTGTGCTGTGGACTATCATAACCAGGACAAAAAAGGTAGGGGCAAGGTTTGGGTGGTGGTTTGTATCCAAGCCACATTGTTCTCCGATATAGTGTAAGAGAAAGCAGTGACAAAAATGAATTTCTAGTATGAATTTCTAGTCTGAAGCATAATCTGTTCTTCCAGACAAGAAATTTTGTCAAATCGAAACTGACCCGGCGTGTCCGGAATCAAATTGCTGCCTCTGGCTGGCGGCATCTGCGCATGGCGTCATTCCTCTGATTCGTGGAGATTCGCATGTTACAGCATGTTCCATCTGTACTGTATCCTGGGCGGGATGAAGGGCAGCTACAGTAATTTGCTGTGGTGTAAAATCACATTTTCTTCTGGAGGTGTGCATAGAGCCAATCAGAGTCGCCCACACTCTCTCACACAATGGACCCGCTGGTTACCTGGCCTCTGGCCTTCCCAGTTTTTCGCGAGAGGTCGTTAGCTCGACATGGGTCAGCGGGGGGTCACGCGGGTCCCACAGCGAAATGTTTATTCCAGCTGCGATTAGTGTTACCCAGGCCCGACTTAGGATTCCCTCTGCATGCCCCAGGATATGCTTTCTTGCAGCAGCCGCCGCCTTGGTGTTCTGGCCGCTTGCCTTGGAAGACCTAATCCTCTTTTTTGCCCTTACCTCCTCTCCTCCTCAGTCAACAAATAAACCTATTCCGTGTTTCTCGCCGCACTAAGCTCTAAGATCCATATTCCTGGGTCACGTGATTGAAGGCACGATTACCACGTGTCCTGTATTCTCACGTACCTCGTGCCTTGATATCCGGCCAGAGGGTAAAATTCCCTTTCCAGCTTCTTCCATGTCATTTTTTGCGCAAATTACGACTCCGCACGTGGCAAACGTGGTGTAGGGACTATCGAGTCCAGCAGAGCGTGTGTGTAGAAGCTAGATTCTTTCCCTCATCAACACTTAGGAGCAACCACCTAAACGGACGTAGTTGGGCCCACACTGTGAATGGCATTCACATCACATCCTATTTCGGCAAAGCAACAGGCGTGTTTGCCTCAGGCTATCTTAGCGGACACTGGACCACATATTACACTTAGACTGTACAGTACCGTACTCACGAAGGATGTGTGGGCCCCCAACGAGCTGATTGAGTCGTGTCGTGAAATGCGCAGCCGATGGTATCGTAGCCTGATCCGATTCTCTACAACAGCACACGCTGTAAAAACAGCACCAGCAATCTTCCTCTCAGACTGAGGTTTGCCATCGAGGTTGCCTTGGCGGCGAGACTTCGCGATCTTCCCGAGGAGTCCACTGGCCGTCATTGGCGGAAATGGAGTACACGGCTTTTACAGCGAGAACGACGGCGAGTCGCGGTCGGTCGCTGCTTATGCTGCTGCGAGTATCACTTGCTGCCAGCTTGTCAACTCGAACATCATTCACGAGTCTCAAACCCGACTACCGTAGTAGTCACTGGTATCCCCGATTTCTAGATCTGGACCACGCACACGGGACCACACAAACGCGCTTGCTTCCCCCGAGACGCCATTATTCCAGCACCAGCTTTCCCACAGCGCGTGAAAGAGGTACCGCTGACCAGCGCGTCTTGCGGGCATGAGCGCCATCGCAGTGTTCCACGGAAACCGCCACGCGCTTCGTCACTTCGACTCGGCAATGGTAGAACTTTCGTCAGAAATGCCTCCCCTAGTTAACGCTGTCGGGAAGGCTTCGCCGAACCTTCCAGTCGACGCTCCGGCGGTGGTCGGAACCGCCGGTGAGACCGCAACAGCCCCGCCGTCCCCTCCGCGTTTCGCGGATCTTTACGGCTCCCCGCAAGTCTTCTCCGAGTCGCCGTCCATGTCGGCCTTCCCCCAAGACTCGCCCGCGTCAAACCTTCTCCGCGCCCCCCACAAGTCGGAATCTCCGCAAGCCCCGCCCGCGACACTGCGCCGACACCGCCGCGTCGCGTCGTCCCCGCAACCCGGACTTCTGGAGTCGGAAAGAAGTTTCGACGGAAACGCGGAGCGAGAGGGGAAGCAACGCACGGTATCCCCCAAGATCGACGGTCGAAGTGCCGTGCGGCCCCGCCATAACCGCCGTTCCTCCGTCAGCGGCGCCAGCAGCGCAAGCACCGAGGCGCGCGACGGGGAAAGCGGCGGGCATTGCGGCGACTTGTACGGCAGACAAGAGCTGGTACGCCTGGTCCCGACGGACCAAACCACAGCCGTCTCGGAGTTCTCGCCCAAGTCTCCCTCGATTTCGTCACTCTCGAGAAAGTCACCGCTGCCCAAGTCACCTTCGTCTCAGTCCTTGCCTCGAAAGGGAGAGTCGACGCGTCGACTCTCCTATTCCAGCGACGCCATCCCGCTGCAACGGGGTGATAGTACTAGCGCCGAAATTCCGCTACTACTGCCGGAAAGAGTATCGCGCGGGTCGTTATCGTCAACAAACAGTCGCATGAACATCCAGCGTAACCCCTTCAGCCCTCGATTCTGCTCGCGCGATGACGATCCGGCGGCGGGTGCGCCGCTTCCGGCGGAGTTATCCCCTTCTCCGCGCGACTTGCCGCCGGTGTTTCCCCCCTCGCCCTTTCCGCGCGCTACTTCTCCCCGCGATGCGGCTGCACGGGCCCCTCCGCGATCCCCGGCGATCGGCAGACTCGCGGCGGCTCGAGCGTGGAATAAGATGATGGCGATGCCGCCGCTGAGCACGGAGCGGTCAGCGCCGCCGGCGGAGCTGTTATCGTCTTCTCCGCGCGGCGTTACTACTACCGCCGCTACTACTACCAGTGGTAGAACTAAAAACACTTTCCTTCCGCTGTATCCTGGAGTTGACGCGCCTCGACAGTCGTCGGCGGAGCTGTCTCCGCACGGCGCTACCACAACCACTCCGCATCAGCGATCCCCGCTTTCTCGTTCCCCGCATCCGCGCTCCCCGCTCGCGCTGGCTTCTCCCCCGTCCGCGCGCGCCTTCCCCGTCGATGGGGGAAGCGCGGTGAGCGCGGAGAAACTTCTCCGCATCGGCCGGGAGGATGGCATCAGAAGCAGCAGCAGCAGGAGCAGGAGCAGCGACAGCAGCGGCAGCAGCAGGAGCTGCAGCAGCGACAGCAGCATTAGCAGCAACAGCAGTAGCGACAGTGGCAACAGCGGCAGCAGCAGCGGCAGCATCAGCGGCGGCAGCAGCAACAGCAGGCGATTAAAACACGAACAGCTGGTGCTGTTGGACGGAAGCGCCAGCGTGGAGATCATCACAGCCACGGAAGCCGACACAACGGCGACGCCGGCGGCAACGGCGGCGGCGGCGGGAGCAGAGGCGATCGCGGGTGCTGCGCTGGACATTCCGTTGGACCTGCTGGAGTCCGCGCGGCGGCTGATGGCGGAGTGCGAGGCGCGCCGAGTGCGCTGGGAGCTGCTGAACGCCGCGGGCGCCTTGAACGGACGCTCTGCGGAGTGCGCTGGCCGCGGAAGCTCCGCGGAGCATGTCGCAGCTACGTCCCCCATCCCCGCAGGGCCTCCGTTAAGCGCTCTTCGCCCTACTCCCGCTCGAGCTATTCCCGTCTCCCGCCTGCGCCGCGGACGCGTGTCCTCCTGCTCCTCTCTCCCCATCTCCCCGCTGTCTACTTCCCCGCTTTCCCTGTCTCCGCTTTCTCCCCTTTCCGCCGCCTCTGCTTGCGTTCTCCCCGCGTCCGCCGCGCCTTCTCCCGCGAAACCCGGCCCCGCGGAAAGCCCGTTACGGAGAGAACGTTCAGGCGTGCAAGGTAAAGCGCGCGCGCAAGGTATCCTTGCCTTGACCGCGCAGCAGCAGCAGCAGCAGCAGCAGCAGCAGCAGCAGAAACAGAAGCAGCAGCAGCGACAGCTAATGGTCGAGGGTTCCAAGCGAGATCGCGTGAAGCAGCTGCGCGTTTTGGGGAAGCATGGAAGCTTCGAGCAACTCTCGGGATTCTTTTCCAATGTGCTTTCCCTCTCCCGGGGCAGCAGCGGGGATGGCTCCACCAGTAGCGGATGCAGCAGCCCCTGCCCGAGCAATCCGGGCAGCTTGCTGGAAAAAATCTCTGCGGGAGGGAAAAGTTTGAAGCCGTCGGATTTCGTTCTCAAAATGCCCTACGAGGATATCAAGGCTCGGTATTCGCTCGGAAAGAAGGAAATCGGGGAGGGCAGGTTTGGTTCCATCCGAACCTGCTTGGAACAGAGCTCCGGCAACTTCTACGCCTGCAAGACAATTTCCAAGAAGATTATAGAGGTGATTGCCATTTCCTTGTGTACAAAATCATCACCAGTCCACCTCTTTGCTTCTCTTGCTCAATATAGTCACACCAACTCTGTCGCCAATGCCTTTGTAGTCTCTATCCTCCCTCTACTCTAGCTTTACTCTCATGCCTCTTCGACGCAGTAGGACGCCTTCCCCCTTCCCAAATTAATCTCCTCGTTATTTTTTTTTTTCCCTTCTCCTTCTCCTCTTCTTTGTTGCAGACTCCAGAGGAAGCAGAGGACGTACGGCGTGAGGTGATGTTTCTCGCGGCGCTGAAAGGACACCCCTACATCGTCACACTCAAGGAGGCGCTAGAAGACAAATCTGCCATCCACCTCATCATGGAGCTCTGTCCGGGCGGCGACCTCTTCGAGAGAATCAAATCCCGAGCCCAACTCACCGAACCTGAAGCGGCTTCAATTCTTCGGCAACTTCTAGAAGCCCTAATGCACTCCCACTCCTTGGGAATACTCCACCGCGACGTGAAGCCCGAAAACATCCTCCTTTGTAGCCCCTCCAGCTGCTCCTCTATAAAGCTCATCGATTTCGGAGTGGCTACAGTGCTGCCGGAGGGAGCACAGTGCAATGAGGTGGCAGGAACCCCTGAGTACATGGCACCAGAGGTGTATGATGAGAAATACGGTTTCGGCGCTGATGTATGGGGTGCTGGGGTTTCACTCTATGTGATGCTGTCAGGGATACCGCCCTTCTGGGAGTCGACAAACCGGAGTCTGGAGCAGGCTATAAGGTGCAAAAAGGTGTCGTTTAAGCACTGGAAGTGGGCTGACGTGTCGGCGGAAGCAAAGGATCTTATAACGAGGATGCTGGAGAAAGATCCGAGCAAGCGCATCACGGCTCAAGAGGCTCTAGGTGAGGGTTGGCCTTGGTCTCGGTTTTCCCATTTCCATTCTCATTATAGCTCCTTTTTTTTTTTCCTGAATGCCTTGCATGTCACCCCGCTTTTGAAGAGATTCAGCATTGGGTTGGTTGCTCTGTATGCGCATCTCACCGTCGCCTGTTCCCATCTGCCATTCTTTCCCCCTCTGTTTCTGTCCCTATCTCCCTCCTCTGCAGAGCATCCGTGGATCACCAAGCTTGCTCCATGATTCGTCTGCAGCTCACTTCCTCTGCAGCATGATTCCTGTGAAACTCACAAACGCGGCATGACGGGAGGGCACACATTACGAGTCGTGACTGTTCGTCAGAAGCTCCCATACTGCAGTCTTCATTCCACCCGAGTGGTGTATATAGGATGGATGGAAATGCCAGGGCAGCTGCCTCCTCTCCCTGCATAAAGCAGCCAGCAAAAATGACCCACTAGCGAGTGTCCATAAAATTTTTTCTGCCTGGTATAATCTGCAACCCAGGCTTCATGACCATTCTGTTGCTGCCGGTGTTCTCCCTTCTGCTGCTGATGGCGTCTTTTTAAGTTTTTTTTATGCCTGCCCACCTGGACCGACCATAAGTCACTTGTAATCAGTAGGATTGGCCAGCTCACAGCCGCCGCTGTAAGGCTTGTGTGCTCAGGCTTAGTTTTTTGGGCCACTTGGGGATGGCTTTTTAGTGTAGCTGGTTGTGTCCCTCCAGTGGTGTTTAATTCATGTACCAGATTCTCTAAGTAACTTATGAATATTATTGGTAGTGTAACATATGTTGGAGGAAGTTGCATTGGGATTGTTCCGTTTTTTACAACGTCGATACATGGTGCACCCATGTGTCCGTATGTGTACTTCTTGTAAGGCCTTTGCCTTATGCCCATCAAAACTAAACAAGATGAATGATAATATTACTCATTATTTTCCAGTGGTTGACCGTACAACATCAAGCTAGCTTTATTCTGAAGAGCTGTGAAAACCTGCCGCATTGCACACCATTATCCAATAGCAACATTAGTTGCAAAACATGGCGTAACGCACAGCACAGTGTCCCGTGCCAGGCCGCGACCATTCACACCACTCACAACCGCACCATTCACAGCCCGCACCATTCACAACCACGCTCCAAGTCCGGAATCAGAAGCCACAATCACCAAGCACGTATACACAGGAAAGTGTGGAGGGGAGAACAAGGGGTATGGAAACAGGTTAAGTATGCTTAAATCTTATGCCAATCAGTGGGGCAGCGGGGACAAAAATGTAGCTTGGAAAGCTAATGTAAAACGAGAGGAGCGGCAAGGGGGGAACTAAAAGTACATTGAGTGAGCTCAGATTTATCGCGTGTTAAGCGTGGCAGTGCAAACGCAAGTGTAGATGAGAAGCATAAGTGCGGAAGGGAGGAGCGAAAGAGCACCTGTTGTACCAGTACGGGAGTGACAGATCTGGTCCACGACTGATTGGAGCAGCCTCATTATTGAGCAGACTTGTTATAGAGCAGACTCGTTATAGAGCAGGCTCATTATAATGCAACCTCTGCTGAGCCGACTGTACTAGGGAATGGAGTGACAGACCTGGTCAACGGCACTGATAGGAGCAGACTCGTTATAGAGCAATCGCTGCTGCACTGAGTGTAGCTCTGTCTGCATGCGCCACACGAGGCTCATATCCAACAGCATCACGTCAAGCCTCATGGCTGTCTCATGCACGTCCATGGGGTCGATGTTGAGAGAGAAGGCGCTGCAGGGAAGGATGGGTGGATAGGAGAAAGGAGAGGATGACACAGGTACAGCTAATATACACAGCAGCATCACATCGAGACGCATTGCTGTCTCGTGCATGTCCATAGGATCAATGTTGAGAGAGAAGGCGCTGCAGGGAACAGGGGGGAGAAGGTTAGGTGAGGGGATGGAAGGGGGCGGGGAAGATGGCACGGCTTGTGCTCATATCCAACAGCATCACGTCAAGCCTCATGGCTGTCTCATGCACGTCCATGGGGTCGATGTTGAAAGATAAGGCGCTGCAGAGAGAGAATGCGCTGCCGGGAGAGAAAGCGCTGCAGGGAACATGTGTGTTGGGGCGATGAGGAGTGGAGGGCTAGATTGCATGGATCATACTTTTATCCTCCACGCAAGCGAGGTGACTTTTGAGTCGACTCAAGGTGACTTTTGAGTCGACTCAAGGTGACTTTTGAGTCGACTCAAGGTGACTTTTGAGTCGACTCAAGGTGACTTTTGAGTCGACTCAAGGTGACTTTTGAGTCGACTCAAGGTGACTTTTGAGTCGACTCAAGGTGACTTTTGAGTCGACTCAAGGTGACTTTTGAGTCGACTCAAGGTGACTTTTGAGTCGACTCAAGGTGACTTTTGAGTCGACTCAAGGTGACTTTTGAGTCGACTCAAGGTGACTTTTGAGTCGACTCAAGGTGACTTTTGAGTCGACTCAAGGTGACTTTTGAGTCGACTCAAGGTGACTTTTGAGTCGACTCAAGGTGACTTTTGAGTCGACTCAAGGTGACTTTTGAGTCGACTCAAGGTGACTTTTGAGTCGACTCAAGGTGACTTTTGAGTCGACTCAAGGTGACTTTTGAGTCGACTCAAGGTGACTTTTGAGTCGACTCAAGGTGACTTTTGAGTCGACTCAAGGTGACTTTTGAGTCGACTCAAGGTGACTTTTGAGTCGACTCAAGGTGACTTTTGAGTCGACTCAAGGTGACTTTTGAGTCGACTCAAGGTGACTTTTGAGTCGACTCAAGGTGACTTTTGAGTCGACTCAAGGTGACTTTTGAGTCGACTCAAGGTGACTTTTGAGTCGACTCAAGGTGACTTTTGAGTCGACTCAAGGTGACTTTTGAGTCGACTCAAGGTGACTTTTGAGTCGACTCAAGGTGACTTTTGAGTCGACTCAAGGTGACTTTTGAGTCGACTCAAGGTGACTTTTGAGTCGACTCAAGGTGACTTTTGAGTCGACTCAAGGTGACTTTTGAGTCGACTCAAGGTGACTTTTGAGTCGACTCAAGGTGACTTTTGAGTCGACTCAAGGTGACTTTTGAGTCGACTCAAGGTGACTTTTGAGTCGACTCAAGGTGACTTTTGAGTCGACTCAAGGTGACTTTTGAGTCGACTCAAGGTGACTTTTGAGTCGACTCAAGGTGACTTTTGAGTCGACTCAAGGTGACTTTTGAGTCGACTCAAGGTGACTTTTGAGTCGACTCAAGGTGACTTTTGAGTCGACTCAAGGTGACTTTTGAGTCGACTCAAAAAGGTGACTTTTGAGTCGACTCAAGGTGACTTTTGAGTCGACTCAAGGTGACTTTTGAGTCGACTCAAGGTGACTTTTGAGTCGACTCAAGGTGACTTTTGAGTCGACTCAAGGTGACTTTTGAGTCGACTCAAGGTGACTTTTGAGTCGACTCAAGGTGACTTTTGAGTCGACTCAAGGTGACTTTTGAGTCGACTCAAGGTGACTTTTGAGTCGACTCAAAAAGGTGACTTTTGAGTCGACTCAAGGTGACTTTTGAGTCGACTCAAGGTGACTTTTGAGTCGACTCAAGGTGACTTTTGAGTCGACTCAAGGTGACTTTTGAGTCGACTCAAGGTGACTTTTGAGTCGACTCAAGGTGACTTTTGAGTCGACTCAAGGTGACTTTTGAGTCGACTCAAGGTGACTTTTGAGTCGACTCAAAAAGGTGACTTTTGAGTCGACTCAAGGTGACTTTTGAGTCGACTCAAGGTGACTTTTGAGTCGACTCAAGGTGACTTTTGAGTCGACTCAAGGTGACTTTTGAGTCGACTCAAGGTGACTTTTGAGTCGACTCAAGGTGACTTTTGAGTCGACTCAAGGTGACTTTTGAGTCGACTCAAGGTGACTTTTGAGTCGACTCAAGGTGACTTTTGAGTCGACTCAAGGTGACTTTTGAGTCGACTCAAGGTGACTTTTGAGTCGACTCAAGGTGACTTTTGAGTCGACTCAAGGTGACTTTTGAGTCGACTCAAGGTGACTTTTGAGTCGACTCAAGGTGACTTTTGAGTCGACTCAAAAAGGTGACTTTTGAGTCGACTCAAGGTGACTTTTGAGTCGACTCAAGGTGACTTTTGAGTCGACTCAAGGTGACTTTTGAGTCGACTCAAGGTGACTTTTGAGTCGACTCAAGGTGACTTTTGAGTCGACTCAAGGTGACTTTTGAGTCGACTCAAGGTGACTTTTGAGTCGACTCAAGGTGACTTTTGAGTCGACTCAAGGTGACTTTTGAGTCGACTCAAAAAGGTGACTTTTGAGTCGACTCAAGGTGACTTTTGAGTCGACTCAAGGTGACTTTTGAGTCGACTCAAGGTGACTTTTGAGTCGACTCAAGGTGACTTTTGAGTCGACTCAAGGTGACTTTTGAGTCGACTCAAGGTGACTTTTGAGTCGACTCAAGGTGACTTTTGAGTCGACTCAAGGTGACTTTTGAGTCGACTCAAGGTGACTTTTGAGTCGACTCAAGGTGACTTTTGAGTCGACTCAAGGTGACTTTTGAGTCGACTCAAAAAGGTGACTTTTGAGTCGACTCAAGGTGACTTTTGAGTCGACTCAAGGTGACTTTTGAGTCGACTCAAGGTGACTTTTGAGTCGACTCAAGGTGACTTTTGAGTCGACTCAAGGTGACTTTTGAGTCGACTCAAGGTGACTTTTGAGTCGACTCAAGGTGACTTTTGAGTCGACTCAAGGTGACTTTTGAGTCGACTCAAGGTGACTTTTGAGTCGACTCAAGGTGACTTTTGAGTCGACTCAAGGTGACTTTTGAGTCGACTCAAGGTGACTTTTGAGTCGACTCAAGGTGACTTTTGAGTCGACTCAAGGTGACTTTTGAGTCGACTCAAGGTGACTTTTGAGTCGACTCAAGGTGACTTTTGAGTCGACTCAAGGTGACTTTTGAGTCGACTCAAGGTGACTTTTGAGTCGACTCAAGGTGACTTTTGAGTCGACTCAAGGTGACTTTTGAGTCGACTCAAGGTGACTTTTGAGTCGACTCAAGGTGACTTTTGAGTCGACTCAAGGTGACTTTTGAGTCGACTCAAGGTGACTTTTGAGTCGACTCAAGGTGACTTTTGAGTCGACTCAAAAAGGTGACTTTTGAGTCGACTCAAGGTGACTTTTGAGTCGACTCAAGGTGACTTTTGAGTCGACTCAAGGTGACTTTTGAGTCGACTCAAGGTGACTTTTGAGTCGACTCAAAAAGGTGACTTTTGAGT